ATTGACAATTGTAAAGTTATATTTCATTTGCTTTTTCTTTAAGAAAACAAATTATTTCTTAATTAAATCAAATTTAGACACTTGTTATGTTATAACTCATTTTAATATTTTATATATTCAAATATGTTCATTAGATATATTTTTATTTTAAGTTAAGAGAGAAATTTAAGTTCATGCTATATTTTATTTCGTTGAAATGCAGTATTAAAAATAAATATAGTGTTGTATGTAATTAAATATCATTACAAATTAAATAAAAATCAAACATTACATTAACTAAATGATAATTGATATATATCTCAAACCAAGAGGTTGTGAGTTCAATCTTTCACCCCACATGCTGTACTAAAAAAAATAGATTAGGAGCTACTCCTTTTAAGTTTATCCAATGAGCTGACCTAATGAACTTGTCATCTAGTCAAATTATTAAAAAATATAAAAATAATAAATAATAAATAAATTGAAATCTCGTCATCCAGTCAAATTATTAAATTGAGATCTTGACAAAATAAAAAATAATAATAATAACGGAGTAGCTATAATTTACTTAAAATAGAAATCTATATCTCATCTCCAAATCCAAAACTTTAAAATAATAGACTTTTTATGTCCAATATTTTCAAATGTCTAAAATTATATGTTCAGATAGTCACGTTTTTTTAGTAGAAAAATTTATTTAAATGCTCGAGAATATTTAGATAGTCCGATTTATTTTACAAGACCCTAACGGATATTTATATAATTTAGTTTGTATATAATATATTTATTTCTATTAATTTAATATCCCATTTTTTAATGTTAACTTTTGTATGTTACTTTTTAAAATTCATATTAATATATGATTTTTCTAATAATTAATATTAAATATAAATTTCATTTTTCTAACTATAATATTTGTAAAAAGTACAAAGATATAATTAATGTTATATGAGGTAAAATTTATTTATTATAATATTAAATTATATTTTTTATAAGAAGAAAGATATCAAATGTATACTAGTGGTTAAAAAATGGCTGCTTCAAAATTGTATATTTAAGATAATAAATATTATTGATAACAACTCCTTCCAAATATTAAGAATAAATGGAGAAATTAAATTAAGTTTATTTTATAATCAAGTGTAATACATAAATAGACTTAATTGCATAAAGTGGGTCATTAGTCAAGGAGTACATTAATTTATTTGAATTATAAAATTAAAAATAAAAATAAAGAAAATTAATGAAAGAAAACATATGAAAAAAGAACGAATGATAAAAATGTAAAGAGAATGTCTTCGACATGGAAATCTTGAAAATTCATGTCTCAAAAAGACATTCAAAACAACTTAAATGCCTTATGTGTGAGTATCTTAGGATACCCGAGCATCTTAAAATACCTAGATATCCTACATTATTACAAAGTAAATATGGGAATCCAGATGTTCGTGCTATGAAAATTTTGAATTTCTACAAAACAAATGGTCCCTAAGATTAAATTATAAAAGTAGTACAAAGAAAGTATGTATTATATATATATATACACACATATATATACATACATAGAGTGTTAGATTGAAAATTTATATATATATATATATATAGAGTGTTAGATTGAAAATTTTAAAAAATGACACAAATCGTAAACTTATACAATCACACGAGACTCATCTTAAAACCACTTTTGTGACATTTAAAAAAAAAAGAAGTAATGATATTTGTATAAATACATATTTATTTTTTTACCATTTAGTATACTTTTTTTTATTTAATGTAAAAAGTCTTTATTTGAATTAAACTGAAATAGTAACAACACGTTAAAATTCTTTCACCCTATTTTGCTTGCCAACTAGATCCATTCCATGTATATCCATAATTACAACCCACGTTTTTAATATGCAAAAATGGTTTTGTAAATAACTTTAAAATAAAAGAAAAAGAAGGGATATATTTTCTATTTCATGAAATTTCACATCTTCTTGTCTTGGTCATGACTTTATAACCGAAGACGGCCGTAGGCTTAGCAGTCGACACGCAATATAACAACGTGACAAAATTCTATGGTTTTAAGTTGTAACATATTTCAATTGAACCTATTTAATAAAAAAGGAACCCGAAAAAAGGAAAAAAAAAAAGAAGAAGAAGAAAAAATAATTGGTCAGCCAAAATCAAATCAATCTTTTCTGTCGGCTTTTAAGTTTCTTTTTCAAGCGTATAAAGGGGTTTACTAAAATAAAAATAAAAAAATTTGGTTAGTCGGATTTTTTCATAGTTTTAATTTTTTTCAAAAATTTTCAATTCCAATTTTATGATTTAAAATTTGTTTTAATTTGATTCCTATATTTACAAGTTTCATTAAAGTTTAGTCAATTTTATATATTGTTGCTAAGTTTTATGCATGACAACATATAGTAAGTAAAAAATAGAAAGAAGTAAATGAATTTTCTAAGAAGATAATTAAATGAAGAAACTTTTAAATGACAACTCCCTAAGAAAGTTTAACGTTTTGGAAAAACTCTTTCTAAAATAAGATAAAAATAATGCAACAGGATAAGAAATATCAAGAGGATCAACAAACCTACATAAAAGAGGGATCTTGAATTTGAGGAAGCAACTAGAAGAGATATAACTAGTCCCGACTATTGATCTTTTAGAGTGCTTTTTCAAAGTATGGAACTAAAATAGATATTTTAAAAATATAAGAATAAAAATAAGAAAGAATTATTATTATAGTGGACCAAATCTTTTATCTTGAGAAAAAACCACATGCTTTTATTATAAACATATATTATCCATGCACCCCCTGCCACCGACTAACTTTTGGTGGAGTTAGAAAATAGGAAAAATACAATTAATGATAATAATAAAAATAAATAAATAACAAAAACTGCTTCCAACACAACAGCCGACATTGATTTATCTATAGTACTAAAAAAAACATTGATCTTTCTATCACCTAATCTAGAAATGGCAACAATAAATAAAAAAATTAGTGATTGGAAGTTAGCCGGCAAACTTTTGTTCCACAATTTGTCTTGTATTATGTCACAAATTCATACCACGTGGCAACATCACTATTTTCACACACATATATATATTTAAAAATTTCCTCATGGGATTTGTACTTTTCAGGCGGCTTTAATTGCACAATTAGAAAAATAGAAATTAACCTGATCCACAATGATCTTGAGAGAGACGTACAATAAGAAGCAATTTTTATTCTTATTTTGTTTTTTAATGCAAGTTTCACGTGAAATTTTGGTTAAAGGTTTTAGTTATATCCATATTGACATGAAGAGTAAATCAACGTTATTGAGAAAATGCATCCACAAAATATTACTAGTATGAGCTTAATATTAATATTTTAAATTTATTTAAAAAATAGTAAAATTGTTATTTGTTAATTTTATAATCTTTTCAAAAACATCAATCGACATCGATACTTTATCGATATTTCCATCTACATTTTCATGAAATAGTTCGACATTTAAATCTTTGTTAATATGATAAAAAAATAATTAAAAGATATTTAATTTTGAAGATATATTTATTTTCTATTTGTAGAGATATTATTATAGTGCAAGTTGTAGAGAAAGTGAAGGTAAATTAGTTTAATGTGAGACGTAAAGCCAAAAACATAATTTGGTTATATTTAATATAGAAACAGGCTCCTGTGAACCCTAATCCTAGCTCTACTTGGCAAGAGATGAGCTATAGATTTTAAAGTATTTGCTCATTCATGTATCTTGCCATATTGAAAATATATTTATTTATTTATTTGACATTAACTAGTTATTGATTTGAAATGAGTGCAAAATAGACAAAAATTCCATTTTTATTTTGAGTAACGATACTTATTTGTGTTATCTAAAAAATGGGTTAGAGATAGCTAAAGGTGTTTACTACTCTAGAATTCGAGGTTCAAATGAGTGGTGGATCTAAAAACTTTACATATGGAGAGCTAAAATTTATAAAATAATAATTTTGAATAGAATGTGCTTGCCCGTAGGTGTGCGTGTGTGTATATATTAGTTTATATATTTTGACATTAAGTCGCGTAAATTATAAATAACTTTTAAATTTAGTTAAATTTATTTCTAATATTGTTTCTAAACTTTGAAAAGTACAATGTCAAATAGGTATACAAACTTTTAATTTTTTTTAGATTAGACTCTTGAACTATTTTAATATGTTAGAGATATATATTAAACAAAAGATCGAAAATTCGAACACCTTTTAGATTTTAAAATTGAATCTTTGAAGACGTATTAAATATTTTTTTAAATTTAGCAACCTATTCGATACAACTCTGAAAGTTTATGGATCAAACTCGTAATTATTTAACAAGTTTGTTTGACAGACTCTAGTTCCCATTGGCTCACGTTCATCTGCCCTTGGTTCAAATTTTCACATTGTGTTAAAAAGAAATTAAGTAATTAATTGATTTATTTGTAATTCTCGACCCTTGATTATTTATATTTTTTAAATTAAAAGTTTCACTCTACTGCATAAATTTTACAACTTTTCATTTTTCTCAAATATACCATTAATGTAACTTTACTTTTATGTGTTTTGTATTACATTTGAGTTTGGTTTGATTTGAATTATGTTATTTTTGTAAATTTTAAACTTTTATGCTTTATTTAAAAAGGTTTTAACTTTTTTTTTTTCAATTAAGTCATTTTGATAGTCAAAGAGAGCATAGCTCAACGCTGATTAGCATATACCTCAAACTATGAAGTTGTGAGTTCGATCTCCCATTCCTATGATACTAAAAAAACTCGTTATTATCACCGGACATAAAAAAATGACGAGCGAATGTAAAAGGAGTGTATATATACTCTTCACAAATTCACGAATGGCCTACCATGGTACCATTGCCAACTGGGCCTAAAAGTTGAGAAAAATCAGCTGGGCTCACCATTTCGGCCCACTTAATAATGGATATCATCCGCCGCCGGCCCAGATACCGAAGCCCGACCCGCGATCGCCCAAATTTCTCTTCCTTCTGGTTTCCCCCAAGTCTGGAGAGAGACTCCATTTCAGTAGCTTGTTTGAAGAGAAGGCACAGGAGAGTTCGAAATGAAGACGAAGGAGCGAAATGAAGAGAAAGAGAAGAAAAGGAAAGGAAAATTTTGGATATGGATGATTTTATCAGTGATTTTCCGGCTCATTCTGATATATTTCCCCAATCTGAATCTGTTTTCTCGACCCGAAGTCTCCACACCTCTGACCAGCATTCGTCGATGTATTTTTACTCTCTTTCTCGTCATGAATGATTCCCGGTTTAATTTATGCTCATGATATCGACTTAATCGTTAATGTCTTGCAGTGGCTGAGGGTTACTGGTTGAAGCAGTCGTCAATGTCTCCCTACGCAGGTTTTCTTGTTTGCTTTTCGCAATTGATTTGAATATTTGCTTCTGAAGCTGGCTGATTGTATTCTCTTGTGCCTATTTGCTTGAGCAGGATCTATGTACCATGGCTCTCCTATGTTACTGTCTCTTCTTGGGCCACTGACTGTAAAAAGGTAGAAATGTACCTCCAAATGAAATGCGATAGTTCATTCAATAGAGTTTTTTCAGTTTAACTCGTCAATGTTTTGTATTGAACTGGATAAGTACTTGAAGTATATGATTGGGTTTCAGATGACCATTTCCTTCTATTGTACTGATTACTGAATACTTTAAAATTAAAGAATTTCAAGGCCATAAAAGTGAGTTTAATGGTGAATTTTACAACTTCGGAAGTTCTGGTTGACTGAACTTCTTGGCCTGGAAGTTCTTACCTTATGATGCCAACAGTGGTGTTATTGCTGACACTCTATAGTGATCTATTTTGTGGTGATGCAGAATTGAAGGGCAACCAGACCATCTTTTATGCAGGTGAATTTTGCCTTTCTTTTGTTTGGGACTAAGATTCATTTATCGACTCTTTTGAGGTTGTCCAACATTTGGAAGTGAATGGATTTCAGTGGAGTTGTGTGTTTACAATTATCTAATTCTTCTTGGACATCTTGCTGTTGTACCTCCTTGTACTCAATTTCATTTGTGAAATTTTTTTCTTCAAGGCCTTTTCATCTACTGAATATAGCCCCATTATTTGTTCAGGCTGTTAATATAAATGTATTGTTGGATAGTTTTGCTTTTGTGGTTGCAGATGTTTTGAGCGCGCTGCTTATTCGTGCAATTGGTCAGAATCTTCAGAGGGCATACTATCAGAGTTTGAGATTGCTAAAGATTAACCTATCAAAAAATTCAGGTTCTTGTCATGGGCACCTCAAAGATGGTTATCAATTTATTATCCATGAAATGTATATCTTAAACACTTATTATAACCTCTTTTTAGTTTTAGGTAATTATGAAATTACAACTAAAAAATTCTGACCAGGAATAAATTATCATTTTGCATTTCTCCGATAAGGTTGGGTACTCGCACTAAAGCAGTTTGTATTGATTTTCTTCTGCTCTATTTTGTAAATTCCTGTTGCAAAAACTTCACTGAAACTGCTCAAGATGATAGCCAGATTAACTTCATAAAGAACAAGTATTTTAGATCTGCAGCAATGCCTAAGTTTAAGAAGCAACTTGAACTTAGTTTCCTACCAACTAATTGGGCTACATGGCCCGAAGAATAACAAAAGAATCCCCTAATCACGGTTACTCCTCTCTATCTCCCTCTTGTACCCTTTTTCTTCTATACACAATTATGATTGGGTCTATCAGAATGATGTAATGTTCAAAGCACAATTAAGTTCAACTTATACAGACAAACAACCTTGTCAAACTTTAATGGATGGGATTAGAGAGAACTTTAGAATTGAACTTTTTTATGTAAGAGGTTGTGCAACTGATGAAAGCCAGTTCCAATATAGTTATATTTTTTCTTGACTGTATATTCTTACCAAGTGAGGGGGCTAGACAATGAAGATTTGGTAATCGATTTTAGGATGATAGAGCAATACTGATATCCAAAGATGCATGAAAACATGGTATTTTGATTGATGTGATAATTATAATAATATTGATTTGGTTTGGAGGTCTCAAGTTTGAACCTTTTGGTGAGTTTAATATAAAAAATCCTTGGTGTCGGCCTGGGTGCCCTTAGGTATAGGGGAGCAAAGTTTTGACTCCCAGTTAACAATTAAAATAAAAAAATTGTTATTTTTCAAGGGAAACATATGAACGAAATTGTGGGGGGTGGGGGGTTGTTGTAATAATATTTCAGGCTCTGTTTTTGGATTCTTCATTATAAATCTGGTTTTTCTTTTGTATCATCATCATTCAAATGAAAACTGCCTTTTCAGCTGGATTTTGAATGCTCCATTCTCTTCTTTTATTAGCTTACTGAGTAATGCCATTTTTTTTCCATGATAACAGAGATCTTCCCTGCTGGGGATATTGCATCTCTTGTGTACTTATGGAATCCTTTCACAATAGTTGCATGTGTGGGTCTATCCACATCTCCGATCGAAAATCTAGCAGTTGTGCTTACTCTCTTTGGAGCATCTAAAGGCAAGAAGTTAACAATCTTTGCTTTGTCATAGAGATCTTTCTTATCCTTTAATAATGGACAATTTCTAGACGAAACGTGCATGTGAATTTCACCAAAAATTTAAAGGTGCAATTGCTCATACTGGTTGAAGCACCAGAAAATAGACGTGTTACGTAACTATTAACCACTACTAGCATGTTTTTGTTACTGAAAATATATATTTGTTATGATTTATTTTGTTATTTTGGAACCACTCATTTGATAAGATGCATCTAATGGAGTCCAGGACAAGTTTCGTTGGCTGCATTTGGATTTGTCATGGCAACTCATCTATCTCTTTATCCTATAATTTTGATAATTCCGGTATGATTTTTCTATCTTAGGTGTTTGGTTTGACAATATATAATGTGCATGCTCATGGATTCTTCTAATTTAGTTGTTATGGTCTTCTTCTTCCCCACCAGGTAGTACTTCTACTAGGTAATGGCTTAGATGCTCCTCCTAGGAAATTGTTCTCGCAAAAGAGTTGTAGTAGAGGCGTTGATGGACCTTCAAGTGATAGCTGTAGTCGGCAAGAAGAAATGATCAATCAGCCTGAGCCAAACATTTTCTCATTGAGACCAGTTATATATTTCTTGTTGTGGGTTTCTTTATTTTCTACGTATCTGCTGCTTCTTTGCGGTGTATCTCTTAAACAGTTTGGTGGGCTCTGGGAGATGTTTAGAAGGTATCTTTTATTACATCTTCAATTTTTCTTTTAGAATTTTCAATGTCATATATTTAAAAATGTAACCGTTCACTCTTTGCATTTCTCACACCGAAAGATCTTATCCCTATTTCAACAAGTACCAAGTGTGATTTTGATAGTAAATGATGAATATGCACATTTCAGGCCCTCCTTCACCCTCCGTTGGTCTTTAAGAATGGGGAGGTGTCACTTAGCTGAATGCTCGTTGGTTTCCAAAATATTTACATTGTTATATTCCACATTTACAACTGCTTCATCAATGAAAGTTAAATCCACCTATGAGAAAGTTGATTTTTTTTTTCTAAAAAGATGACATAATTTCTTTTATATCAATGTTTCACGTTTTTGAAGATAATCACATTTATTACAATGAAATAGCATGAGCTGATTTTCTGAGTTTCCAGCATACATTTCTTACTTAGCTCTAAAATGTGGCTGGTTTTTGCAGCACATATGGCTTTATTCTCACTGTGCAAGATTTGTCTCCAAATATAGGGGTTCTATGGTGAGTTCAAAATGCTAGTTGTTGGCTACAAAGTGAATCCTATGCATAAAGTATAGCATGTGACTGACTACCAACTGATCTTTCGAATGCTGATTGCAGGTACCTTTTTGCAGAAGTGTTTGAGTTCTTCAGGGATTTTTATTTAATAGTCTTCCATATCAATATTTTGTTTATGATAATGCCATTGTCCATACGGCTCCACCATCGACCCTTGTTTCTGGCTTTTGTGCTTCTTTCCGTCTCTGCAATGTTGAAGTCTTACCCTTCGGTATCCTCTGGTCTTGTCACATAACTTCATTTTGATTCTTTTTTTTTTTCATGATCAAATACTCAACTACTAGATGCTGCAAGTTTAATGAAAAAGCTTGTCTTGTCCTTTTTACTTCTAATTAGGTGGGGGACTCGGCTCTGTACTTAAGTTTTATGGGATTGTTTGTAGATGAATTAGTTGGTAAGTTATAGTTTGGTTATGGTTACTGATATTTTCAACCTCATCTGAATCTTCACCATTTTATGTTCCAATGGTTTACTTGCAGACTTGGAGTTCTCCTTCTTCCTATTCTGCGGGTATATTGGGATTTCCCTGCTTAGCCCTGTAATGCACAACCTTTGGATATGGAGGGTATGCCTTATCTGCATTCTGATATAAGTAATAAAATGGAAATATATAATCTCTTTTAAGCTAAATGACTAACAAAATTGCAGGGGACTGGCAATGCCAATTTCTACTTTGCAAATGCAATGGCCTATGCTTGCTTCCAGGTTTGTTCTTTCTTCTTGAAAATATAGTTTGCATTCAGATCTCTACTATGATTCTCCTCGTTAGACTTGCTTAAATATTATTATCATAGTATTGTCTGATACTTTCTCTCATTAATGCTGCTCAGATCGTAATAATATAGAACCTACGAAAACAGAGCCATGTACATGCAATATATTGCTTTCTTTCACTAGTCACCACTAAATTCGTTTAAATCAGATCTAATAATATGTGGTTTATATTACCATCCAATTCTTGGACTTTCATGATCGTGTCTAATAGGTCCTTCAACTTTAAACTGTCTAATAGGGGTCCTTAAACTTTCAATTTTATGTATAAGTGATGTTAAACTTTTAAGGTGTCTAATAGATTCCTAGACTTTCAATTTTGTAACTAATAGATCTCTAAATTTTTAAAAGTATCAAATAGGTCTATAACATGGACAACAATTTTAAAACATCGCCTAATCTATTAGGCACTTTTTAAAGTTTAAATACTTATTAGATACCAACTTAAAAGTTCAAGGAATACGCTTGTAATTTAATCTAATACCTGGGTTATTAGGACAGATCTAATTCGTATTCGGGTAAGAACACTGTTTTGTTTTATTCATGAGATCTTTAGAAGTGATTTGTTTGTTGTTTATTTTGTGGGCTCACTGACTTTATTTGAACAGATTGTTTTAGTGGTTGAGAGTGTAAGTACAATGCTGAATCACGACCGGAAACTAAGGAAGCTGTCTGCAGTGAAGCTTTCATAATAGCTTAGTCATAGATAGCACCAAAACAACCTCAAAGAAAGATCATCTCAGGCTGCTCGATTTCATTGGACAACTTTTGAGTTCCAGAGATTCAATTTCCATGTAGAATCAAAATCAACCTCGGGACTGCTGTGGGAGACATTATGTCATTTGTAAAGTCACTGAAAGTTTTGTATCTCTCTCATTATGTCTCTTTTTTAAAAGGAAATTTCTCAAGTCCTTTAATCTTGAAGTTTTAATTTTACCAAATTGAGATAAATGGTAATATTGAATTATTCATCAATATAGATATTATTTGTCTTGAAAGATCTACGTTAAGTTATGAGTGTTCTAATTTGATAAAGTTTTTCTTTTGCTCCTATTCTCTCTTAAAGCTTGTAAAGCTCATAAAATGGAACACAATTAAAAAATCAAATACTATTTTGGTCTTTGTAATTTCGGTTAGTCCATGTACTTTAGAAATATTTACGTCTTTGTAATTTTAAAAGTAATGAAAAGATGTCACATAAGAAAACCGATGTTTAGGCAAGTATTTTTCTAATTATTAAATAAGTAACCACCATTCTTCAGAGCTCTAAAATTCACGAAATCTGTGTTCCTGTCCTATTCATTATCTATATCAGCATTCTATACCCTAATATGGCCTCGTTTATCTTTTTTCTTATGCACATGGTGAAGAAAGTAATCAGTGTCTCTGTCAGAGTGCCTATGCTTTTTGTGTAAATCATGGCTCCTTCTTCTCTTGTACCCACCTCCACCTCCACCTCCATGATTATGGTGATGCTTACTTCCATGCCTATGGAAATGCCCTCTGTGCTTCAAGGTGTGCCTTCTGGGTTGATGATTCTTGCCCCAAAACATATCCTCCCACCAGTCATAGAGAGGGTCAAATAAGCCCTTCTGATGTAAAAGCCATAATACTACAACTACTGCAAATTATTAGGAGGAAAAAAACTATAACATTTCCTAAATATGCTCCCAAACAGGACTTAATAATCATGGATTTGTAGTTTACCTGCTGGGAAAGTTGCCAAAAGGAGACCAAACAAGACTAGCCAACTCAAACATATATACTGTATGTGACAGCTGAAGTCAAAAAATCTAGAGCACTCTTTTCTGTTCAGAAAAACCAGAAATATGTCAACGGCAGAATATAGATGCTTCTAAAATTATTTGGTTTATGATCTAGAATTTGGAAGCAAGTACCTGCAAGATTTCCCAATGACAAAGTCGACCACACTTTCGTAGAACTTCTTCCAGATTAAATTGATTGAATCGGCGAAGCCATTTATCTTGCTCTTGGGGGGTTCAAATGGGGTAATCTGTTACAAAATTACCAAAGTCAATAATGGAGGAAGGATGTTACGTCGGATTCACCACGATTCTAAGAGTACACAATTAAGGAACCTGTGATCCATTGTCAAGGACAGTAGCGATGGTAGCAAATTGGCATTCAGCTCTATCAACTTCACTAAAATCAGCATCCTTAAGTATGGCTGCACTATGAACAAATTTAAGACTACACTTAATTTAATGGGAAAAGAGGCATAAGACGCTACTTATCTTACCCGCACACACATACTTTGCTGCTTGATCAGTTGTTGGGTAGAGTTTAAACGAACGGCTAGCAACTTCCTTCGGCTTCATAATGAAATATTGTTCCTGGAATCATCTGAACTTTCATTAACAACTCTTCACGTGAAAAAAATTCTATCAAGATGTCTGCGAAATACCGTACCTCCATGAGACTGACTTCTTTTGAACAAGTAAACTGCAAGAAAGAAGAATCCCCCGAGTTGGAATCATTTGCAAAAAAAGAAAAAAAAAATGAAGTAAAATTTCTAAGAGAGTTCATAAAAGTACAAACTTTGATTGTAATATTAGAAGGAAAAAAAAAATCTATGTCAACACTCATCCAATGGAGCCCTTAATGGTCATCCCCAGCTATATATTTGATTGTAATAAAAGCTAAGTGAGTACCGTTAAGCTATAAGATGCTTCCACTTCTCCAGTATTCTTTGTTGTAACTGTAGCAACGCCAAATTGTGTGAGGGCTTCAAAAGTTGGGATGTTGATGCTCATAATTTTCCCAGGACTCCTACATTAGAAATACATATTCTATTGAAGAAGAACGATGATTTCTAAAATAAATGAACTGCTTTACATATCTTCACAATAGATCTTTAGGGTTTGGATGGTTCTGAAACTTCAAGGAAAGAAGAGCCAACAACTAAGATTTGAATGCATATCACTAACCTTTGGTAAACATAGTCGACATCATCAGCACGTAGTTCTATAACCAGATTTGTGTTAAGAACTTCAGTGACTCCTATGGAGAATGAATGAGTTCCAGCATTCTGCACCCACCGGAACGAAAAATGTTAAGCAATATGAATGATTCATGAACGAAGAAATCTACATCTCCCAATACTTAACTGGGTGCTGATTTATCCTTTCAAACCTTCTTTCCACTCCATATAATGGCAATTGGTTCCTACTAATTCGACTCAAGTCAGCCTGGAAAAGTCGAGAAAATGTATCGGATCATGTAAAAGTATTGTTGATGATGATAATAAAAGTTATCAAAGTAATATACCTTCTTGGGTGTAAATGCTTACCTCCCTGAAATTCCATAATTGATTGTGCAAGCAACTCCAAAATGGTGATGTGCAGAAATCAGGCTGGCTGTTAAATGTCTCATAGCCAACACCAATTTTATTGCATTCAAGACCATCTAAAGTAAATCTCACTCTTTCAAGAAGCATCCACATAGAAAAATTGCTCCCCAAATTCGGAGGTTGACCAGGACCACCCTTCCATCCACAATAGGAAATTTCAGCTAAGCAGCAAAAGGTAAAAACTACAAGGCAAAACCTACTGCAAGTGTAATTTAAAGTAGTCCATCGATTCTACATTCACGTCTAATAAGGCAAAGACAATATATTTCATAGCAGCCAAGGATGAGTTCGCAAATAAGTTCTTCAAGTTATTTGGAAAAGAAATGAGAGACAAGAAAACATCTTTGATTACGATTAAAAGGAACAATCTCAAAGACCTTTATTCAAAAAAGATGTGTGCACAGCTAAACTTTCTCGCATCAGGATTTGCTCCCTCAATTTATACAGAACGTTTTATCAAATATTTCTGTTTTTTGTGTTAGAAGTGGAAACTATTATACTTTTTAATAAAAAAATTTTATGGTGGAGTAAAGCATATACCTGCCTGGGAATAACAAGGTAGAAGTCCTCGAATGATGGTATATTTGTGTATCCAACAAGATCCCCAATAAGATTAACCCTTAAGAAATTATCATGTGATACCACTGTTCTATTTTCCGGGCCCACAGACACTTCCTATAAAGATAAATTTCATATTAATAATGACATTTTGATCGAAATTGGAGAACAAGATCGTGAGAATGTTAAGAGTTTTCTCGATTAGGTATCAAGGAAAACTTACTGAAACTTTAGATCCTGACTTCACTTGAATTTGAACACTGAATCCTAGAGACCATTGTCCAATACTAAAAACATGAAACCTGAGTGAGACAGAAGTCGTAAGTATAAGTATCAAGACCCATGATGATATTACACTAGATTATCATATCAAGAGGGGGCGATTTGGGTACCATATATGTCTACATTCAAAGGTAAAGATGATCAATATCAGAGAGTTGAAGCAATACCAGTCACCTGGAAAGCGTAGGCAATGTGCAGTATTTGCCTTTCCCTTAATCATCTTGTCAACTTACACACAAGAGAGTTAGAATCATAAACCAGGGGTGCTAAATTCCTAAAATAATTGAGAGAACTTGCAACTGAAAAAATGAAAATGAAGAAAAATGGAAAGCAACTTACAAAAATTCCCACATGATGAAGGCATCCGACGCTTTGCCCCACAAGGACAACATATAGGCTAACAGATATAAGAAAACAGAGAAGAATGCATCAATAATTTGATCAAAAGGAATGCGAAGAGTCGTTCAATATAGTAACCAAAAAAAATCAAGATAGTAGCAGCTTTTCTCAAATTGCCACCTGAGTGCTCTGAATTATGTGCCCACTTTCGTCTCTTAGCCTACAAAACAACATCAAAATTCAAATAGATTACTGTCGATCAAATACCTTCAGGGTGGTGTGATAAAGAGGTTAAAGATGGCTTACCTTACCTCTCACATATGTGTACTACTCTGGCGCTAGCATCTGGCTCACATTTTCGAGTTCTAACATAAAATTCTTCGGGTTTGTAGGGAACATCCTGGTGTTTGAACACATAATATATATACTTCTTAAGCTTTATAAACATAGAATATGCAAATTTGAATAGTTTCAAGTAAAAGTTTGAACTTCACCAAGACCAAGCGCACACAGATTAAATCCAAGGAATTGAAATCATAAGAGGGAATTACACGGATGTATGTTAGCTCATACAAAACATAAGCAGCCGATTTGCTAACAGTCAGAACAGGGGGTATTCGCAGGGTTTGCATCTTGTTGGTAGAGTTCTCTTCCACCTCTACAATTTCTGCTATAATGGAGGCCTCGCCCCCACTCTGCAATATCAAAATCTTCTTTACAAAACAATTCAAAAACCATAAAATTAACCCAAAATGGGCACCAGAAAACCATCGAACAAATGGAAGATACTAAAAGAGAAGGTGTCTTACAGAACCACTAGGAACGGCCATGTTTAGGACAATTTTCTTGGTGCAGTTGAGGCTATCGACGCCGGACTTGCGCTCGCACTTCTCAAGTTTTGACTTGGAGAGGATCTGAACTCCGGAAACGTCTTGAGGAGCCAGAAAATTCAAAATGCAAAAGGCGAAGAGAATGCTACAGCCCATTATTTGGTTGTCTGTTACTTCTGAGACTCCTATTTTGAATTCTGAAAAGAGTGAGAAGAAGGGCCGATGGCGGTTTTATAACCTCCAGACACGTTTTATGCTAGTCCTTTTCAAGTAAAATTATATTGTTTATAATACATAATTCTTTCAATCAATTAATATATTCCTTTCCTATGTACTATTTCAGACTGAATCGAGGTGTAAAACCGAGCGAGAAATAGGAGAGGGAGACAACATGCCGGGAGACTAAGAACTGAGGACAAGATTTTTTGCGAATTTCAAATTCTAACCGTTAAAATATGTGAAAGTTTCAATATCTTAAAATCTTTCTATAATGGGGAAAAAAAACCTTTAATCTTTCTATATTTCAAAATTTGTCCATGGTGATCCCTCAGTTTTGGTTCACATTCATTTCAAATTCTATCTATTTCACTGAACGCTGAACAACAGAGAGCTCCAAAAAAATTTCAAAATCCCGCTATCTTATAGCAATCGATTCCGTTCGATTCAATTCATCACTCATAACATGCGTTTATCACAACTAGAGACAGAATCGCCGAGATCATCATTCATAACAGAACAGATTTGTGGGTTTAACCTAAGTACCCGACGCTTATGATTCGAATGTGATGTCGGAACCAATCAGAGAAGTTTGGAGATCGACATACCTTTTTTATCGTCGGAGTTGCAAACGGCGGTGGTGGCGGTTGCCGAAGACGGCGGCTGAATTGATGCATCTGAAGAATCAAAGTCGTTTTGTTTTTGGTTGCGTCTGTTTGTGAGGGAATCGAAATGGTTGATTTTGGCGGGAAGGATGCGGAGGAGGAACCAACTGTAAGATGTAGATTCAAAATCTATTTACTCTTAATAAATATTCGACATATATATTTCAAATATAATTTTTTAATTTTTTTCACATACATCCAACGTGTGAAATTACTAGCCACATTTATTCCCGTCTTTTCGAATCTTTTCTCCTCATACGCATTGGTAAAAGGGTGGAACTTAGAATATTATATACAAATTCCATAACACAAAGCAATAGTATTCAAATAGACTTCTCATTTTTCTCTCTCATTTTCCTCTCTCAGAAAGTTATTAAAGTCTCGACGTGATAGAATTTAGACATCATTTTTAAGTAGTTAAGCTTATCGAAGTAGCTTAATCAACTTAATCTTGTTGTTACGAGTAATAAAAGTCACAATTCAATGTGTGAGCTACATGAGTTTAATGGTCTTATCCAATAGTGATAATATTGTTGAAATTTTAAAAATTTGATGTAGGATTCTAAATTCTAGATCCTACCGTATGAATATAACAATAATAATAAACCATAAAAAGAAGAAAATAAGAAGCGAAGAAAATCACGTTTCAATTTACAAAAATTTCATTTTTGAGAGGAAAATAGTAGTCCTTACTCCAAAAGAAATTATATAGGTTCATCATTCACTTCTCGACAAAATATTTGATGTAAAGATAAATAAAAATTAATTAGAGACCATAGTTAAGGCACATTCAAAGTAGCGTATGTCGTCTTTGTAACTATTTCATTCTCTTTCAATTCCTCGTCCTACGACTATTTTTGCTTTTTTGAGGTAACATGAAAACAATCACACTACTCTCATATTAGCACAACCTGACAATTTTTTACTTTGTTATATAATCAGTTGAGATTTCTTTATCCATTTGCATTTTTAACCTATATAGGATAATCCTATCGTAGTTTATAAAATATAATTATCTACAAATCCCCTTGTTACATGGGATATTTCCAACATTCCCTTTCCAAATACAATTTTATTTTCTATTGTATCGTACGTTAATGTTTGGTTAGATTTTCATGTATGAAGAATTAAATTCTATTTCATTAATCATATAAGAAAAATCTCTTTTTAAGGGAGGATTTTAAATATAGATGTGGATAGAAATGTCGAGAGCATAGAGATGATTAGAGATGATATTTCTAGAAAAGTTATAAAAATAAAAAATTCATAAAAAAATTTGAAATAGTTAATATTAATGTTCGGTTAATAGTAATAATATTTTATTGATATTTTTCGTATTTTTTTATTTTTTATAATACTATAAAAATGTCAATGATCGTGAAAATTTTAGGAGAATTCTGAAATGTTGGATATTTTCATTAACAAATGTGACGTTGATGCATGTACGTGGGTGTGTAGTGAGGCAAAACCAAAAAAAAAAAAAAAGAAAGCCGCATTTAACTTAGTCAAAGCGAAGAAGTTTGACCTATCGGGCGGGCCGTCGGCTATTGTGAATGAGGCGCTGGTCTCTTTGACCCGGTCCACAATGGCGGTCTAAATTACACTAAGTTCGGCTAAAACTTTTAATTTATTCTATTAATATAAGTAGAAGTTCCAATTTAATTCTACTTATATTAGTATGCATGAGATAAGAGGTCTACTATTTATATATATATATATATTAATGTGTTTATATTATCTTCGAATTTGGCTGATTATGATAACTATTTGTATTGGAGTTTAGATTAGAGCGAGAAAGAGAGGAAAATGAATGAATTTTAAGTAGGAAAAAGTTGTTTATGGATAATTCATGTGGTTTAACTAAATCTATAGAGAAAAAACATTGTAATTTAACTATTTTTATATATTTTAACTTTTTAAATAATCAACTTTAATCTTTAAGCTAAATATTGACCTATTGTATATAGGTACAATTCAAATATCTGACTATCATAAATATAGAGAAAAAAATTGAATTTATAAAAGATGCTCAAATCAACCGTGGTTATTTATTGTAATGTTATGAATACAACTATTTCTTGTTAATCTGAACATAGTTTAATTGGTTAAGGTGCTTTTTTTCGACCAGGAGATCACGAGTTCAAAAATCGAAATTTTTATAGCAGCTTCCTTTTATTTTAAAAAAATTATTGAAACATTACCCATATTATAAAATTTATTTCATTTCGTAATTAATGTTAAATAATGAAATAAGAGTCTAAGACTAAATTATTTTTATATATCTAATAAATTAATTTAATATATCAAATTTAATTCCTATGAAAAATCACATAAAAGAACAAATATATATGAAAGAGTACAAAGTGCGAAATGTCTTTTTAATAAAAGTTGAGACACTTTTTTCAAATGTTATGAACATTTGGTAATAAGAATAATACTTTCCAAGGATTTCAATGAAATTTCATAAAAGCTGACATACTTTTAGAAAGATCAGTTTAAAACGACATTTGAATAAATAAAATGTAATAGGTAGAAGATCAATTTTAACCTCCGAGACCTCGTAAAATATTCTAAATTTTTATCTTAAACTTTTAATTTCATCAAATTGTACTTTGATTGCGTTGCAATCTTCCATTTTTTTTTAAAGTATTTAAATTTTACCTCCAATAGATTTTTCGTTAGAAAAATTGTTGAAAAAAGTATTCATCACATGTGTCAAATAAATTATAAAATATATATATTTGGTATATAATTGATACCATTCAAATAAAAATGACTTTAGAGAATTTCTTTTATTGAATATTTGTAAGTTTTGGATATTTAAGGATTGATTTTGTGCATTAACCAAATTTAATTTTGTGCATGAAGCTTGATTTTCATTAAAGTTGTGAGTTTTTTTTAACATTAGTTTTGTTAAATGAGAGGATGAATTAGTGGGAATTAAAGAGTGTAAAAATTGTCACACTTATTTTAAATTTAAGACTCAATTATGATGAAAGTGAAAGTTTATGATAAAAATTAACTCCGACTTTTTGATCGGTTGGAAGTATATGTCAATTACCATTGAACTATACTCCTTTGATTGGTTGGGATTATAATGCCTTAACTAATTAGATTAGGAAATTGAGACTATGACCGAATATTTTAGAAAGTTGAAAAGAGTTTGATATATTGGAAAAACAAAAAAGTCCTGAGAAACTAAAATGATCTCTTCCAACCTAATCCATTTGAAAATTTGAATAATGACTTTTATTTTACAAGACTAAGTTTTCTTGTGGACTAAGCAACTACTAAAGTCAAGGTGTTAAAAATGGCCTTTTCCAGAACTCAATTATTATATAAACATATCTTCTCATTTGGATTTGAGCTCACAAAAATCAAACGACGAACATGGCAAATTCTTCCAAGTTGGTTTCATGTGTAGTTTTGGGCATTTTGGCAATGAGCTGCCTCTCCCCACACAGCTGCGAGCCTGAGCCTGAGCCTGTTCCGTTGTTTGTTTTTGGAGATTCACTTTACGACGTCGGAATTAACAACTACATCAACACCAGCGCTCAGGCCAACTTCCCGCCCTACGGCGAAACTTTCTTCAAGTTTCCCACCGGAAGATTCTCCGATGGCCGCGTCATTCCCGACTTCATCGGTAATAATTATCAAACACTTCTCAAACGGTTAGAATCCATATAAATCAATTAAATTTATCAAATCCATCAGCTTAAACTTTTGGGTTGATCGGTGATTTATTTATTTGGTATCAGAGCGGGAGGTCCTAGGTTCTGTGTTCGAACCCCTCGTAGTTGTTTCTTGATGTAATTTTCCAAGTCCACAAATAAAGAGAGTGTTAGAATCCAAACCCATCACCTGTGGTTTATTCATTCTCAAGATAAACTATTATTTCATTATGGATAATCTTTTCCTTTCTAGTTGCATGATCTATAATTTCAGTAGTAAGTTTTTTACTCTCTTAGAACGTGTTTGAATTCTTAACCAAATTTAACGATTTTTTCTTTCTTCAAAATTTGGTATAGGTTTTGAAAATGTATACAAAAAAATCTATATGACAAAACAAAGGAATATATTTTTTTTTTTATGCAGCTGAATATGCAAACTTACCATTAATTCTTCCATATCTTTATCCGGGCATTAAGGATTATGTTAAGGGAGTAAATTTCGCATCAGGAGGAGCTGGAGCACTCGATCAAACCTTCCCACAGCTTGTAATATTTCTTTTTCTGTATTAACAATAAGCCCAATATGAAACTTTTTAAGTTTTTGAATAATCCAACTTCTCTGTGTTTGCCATTTTTCAGGCGGTAACCTTGAGAACTCAGCTGGGATATTTCAAAGAAATGGAAACCAAGTTAAGAAACAAACTTGGAACTTCAGAGACAAAGAAACTACTGTCCAGAGCCGTTTACTTGATCGCCATTGGAGGCAACGATTACGGTGCTTTTGATTCAAATTTCACAGTTTATCAATCCTACACCACCGAACAATATGTTGATTCAGTCATAGGAAACATGAGCAGTGTCATCAAAGTAAAACCAAACATCATATATATAGTCTTTGTAGATTTTATGTTTTGTTTTGTTCTAATTAATGTTTGGTTTTACGTTTAGGGAATTTATAAGATGGGAGGGAGGAAATTTTCAGTGTTGAATGTTGGGCCTATGGATCGATTGCCGGCCATGCGAGAGGCAGCTATATACCATGGGAGAGTTGATTGGGTGGAACAAGTTGAGAATTTTGCTGTGTTGCACAACCAACAGCTTCCTAAAGCTCTCCAAAAGCTTCAACAAAAGCTCAAAGGATTCATCTATTCCCATACTGATTTCTACACTGCTCTCAATGACATCATCGACAACCCTACAAAATATGGTATGTATGCTTTTTCAATCTAGTTCTTGTGGTTTATTAAGAATTTCGTTATAAACCTTATAAGTTTTGGTAAAATCTTTCGGCTCAAAACATCTGCGTAAAATTCTTTGAACGACATCTAGTTAACTAGATTAGAAGTTGAATTATGTAAAAAAAAAAAGACTTCCAGAGCTAGCCATACAACCTATTACGTCGTTGATTGTCCTTAAAAATCAACTCATTTCTTTCCTTGTCAAAATCTAGAGAAAAATGTGTCACGTGACAAAATTGTCTTTTTTGTAAATTTTTTTAATCAAGATTCGTTGTCGGGACTGATTTGACATTTTTGGATGTAATCATTTGTTTGGAAAAGGTATAAAAGAAGTGAAGAGTGGATGCTGTGGAATTGGGCCATTGAGAGGAACAAATAGCTGCGGAGGGAAGAGGGGCATAAAAGAATATGAGCTATGTGGAAATCCTGAGGAATATGTGTTCTTTGATGCCACCCATTTAACTCATAGAGCATATCAGATAATAGCACAAATTATGTGGACTGGGACTTCCAATATTACCACTCCTCTTAATGTCAAGTCCTTATTCTACATATAAATTAATATATTATGTTTGATTATCAATAGAGAATAAATGAATTATTTCAGTTTACTTGCTTTCCTATCTGAAACCTAAATGATGAATTTTTCATCAAAATTGGTGCATTATAAATAAACTCATATGCCTTTGAATTTGAAGTTTCTATTCACTCTCTCTCTTGTGGCAGTAATTAATGCGTTGAATGTTAAAATGGTGAATTATGTGTGATGTTATCTCTCCCATAGTAATTACTTTTAATTGGAAACTTAGAAAGCTCTTGTTGAGCCATGATCAATGAATTTAGAAAACCTTTTAAATTGTATTTGATTAAACCTAGATAGTGTAGACATTCTCATTTCTACCCCAAACATTTTATTTATTTTCCATTTTCATCATCAAATAGATCGATCTAATGAAATTTATAAATTTATTGAATCACACCCAATTTTACCCAACTCCATAGGATACATATGAACATAGGAATAAAGAGACCTTGATACTCAAATTGGAATTTGCAACAACTACAAATGAAATTTGCTTTGATTAATTCTATTTAAGATTTATGGAGTTTTGTATATAAAACAAAAGTTAGTAAATTTTCACCATTATTAGATATCTATCGTAGGTGGTAATACACTAGTATTTTTAAAAGGCAAAGATAAAATGAGTAATTCTTGTAAAGGTTAGAAAGATAGTGTATCCTCGATATTGTCCCAATCTTTATAATTTTGGTTAGTTTTCACTTTTATGCCATTTTTACATAAGATTGCAATATAATAAATATATTTTAAAATTTTTAAAAAAATATATAAAAATGATATTCTGTCCACTTTATATAACATATATTATGACTTCATTCTTTCCAAGAAAGAGAAATTGACACGAGATTTATATTAGTTTACCCCTATTTCTACCGTTGCAAACTTATATAGGCTTGTGGTTTTAAAACATGTTACTGGGATTTGGTGGATGAGAATTACACTCAACATATTCTATCTTGCAACAGAAAACTCTTAGCCAACAAAAATGCATCAACAAGAAAAAGACAGAATAAAATATATGGAATCTTTGATTAAAGGGGAATTTGGACACAATGCCAAGAAAAAACTGAGAATCTCTCTGTAAGTTACTTTGAAGGAAGCTTCAAATCAGCCCACCCAAATCTATGAAGTAACAACAGCTATCCCAAATTCTGTAACAGAGGAGAAGAATAGATTATTAATGGATCCTTTCGGTGAAAATGAGATTAAAGCTGTGGCATTGTGTACTCCACAAAGGCTCCTGGCCCATAAAACACAGTCAAAGATATGATGGTGAAGAGCTATTTAGAAATTCTAAATAATGGTGGATCGGTGCGGGACCTAAATGAAACAAATATACTTCTTATTCTAAAAGTGCAGTCTCTCCTGAATACTTTGGTTCAGTATAGGCCAATAAGTTTATGTGATTTCTCTTATTATTACCAAGACTATTGCAAACCAGCTGAAATTGATCCTTTAAACCTCGTGTAATTTTGAAAACTAAAGCATTCTTGTCGGTGTTGGATTTGTAAGAAGAGTGTAAACAAAATCTCATATTGATTACATAAGTACATCGACAAAGTTCCTGCTAGATCTATCACTGATAATTTGTTTGTTGGGTGTGGAGTTTTATCAAAAAAGTTACTAGGAAAAAGGGCTTCCAATATGAGAGATATATTTCTCCAATAATGAATTGCATTTCCCCTTCCCATTTTTCAATTTTAATTAATGGTAAAGTTACGGGATCTTTTATGGCAGAGAGGTTGAGACAAAGGGACCCCTGTCTCCTCATCTCTTTTTAATGCGCAGAGGGCTTTCAAGATTGATACAAATTTCGAATGACTTGAGTTGACCAATACACTTAACTTTGGTCAATCACTCAAGACGAGCATCTCGAGTCTGACCAATTTGGGCTCTACCATCTCGAACTAACCCAGCAAAGAACGACAACTTGAGACTAGCACCCTAGTCAACTCTACCAGACTGACCATTCCAAACCTGACTAGYTCGGGCCCGAGAAATCGATGTTGACCTATCTGGGTTGACAAGCACAAGCCTAACGATCGAAGGATGACCATCCCAAAAGTTGACCATCCTAGCCAAACAAGGTCACCACCCTAAGCCAACCACCGTGTGTCAAAACCAACACGAATCGAATAATCCATGCCGACTAACTAGGGTCAATCAACCTGAGCTGAAAAGCCCAAGACACCATCCAAAACTTGACCATCCTAGGCCCAACCATCCCAATCCCAACAACCTTGGGTCGACCAACCGACCAACCTAAGTCGACTAGCTTGAACCGCCCCAGACGACTAACTTGGGTCGACTAGCATGCACCCAACCGCTCGCCAGAAGGCCGACCACCCTAAGTGGACAAGCCTTAACGGACCATTATGAGCTCGACCAACTTGAACCAACCAACTCAAGTCGACTAACCTTGGACGACCATCCTGGGTCCAACCATCTTGGGATGACCAGTCCAGACTAACCCATGTTGACCAATATGAGCTGATCACCCTGGGTTGACGAACTCGAGCGGACAAATTCATGTAAACTAGCACAGACTGGCCAACTCAAGTTGACTACTTTATGCTAAAAAAACCTAGGATGACCATTTGTGACCGACCACCCTAAGAAGACCATTTCGAGTCTGACCAGCTCAAGCCGACGATCTCAAGTCGACGGCCACCTCGAGCTGACCATGCCAGGTTCGACCATCCCAGGCCGATAGACGCAAACCCAAGCACACCGTGCCTACCACCTTGGGTTGACTAGCATGAGCAGATGAACTTTGGCGATGGCTTCGGTATATGGTGATCACTTTTACAAAAATTGCAGGAAAATGAATAATGACGGTGGAGATTTGGGGGAAAAATCCTAATTAAAAGAAATAAATATGTATAAAGTAATAAATTAATTGTAATGATATTCCATCCATTATAAAAATAATTTATGTATTTGAATTTATTATTATATATAATGCTTTTTTTATGGAGTCTAATAATCATAAAGTGAGAAATCACTTGGAAACCAAATATTAATAATTTTAAAATCACTTTTAATTATATGAAAATCGAAGTTAAAACAACATTAAAATTATTATTATTAATCAATGGTAGTTAATTTTTTTTCCAAAACAATTCATTCTACCATCCCTGACACACTCTTAATAATACAAGTTTGGAAAACCTTTCAATTTGCACTATTGGATGCTTAGGTGCAAAATACTTGTATCTATGCTACCAATGTTGTTGAACAAACTATTGGCTCTAAATAAAAAATGGTATGATTAGGAAGAAAGAAATGTGTGTGATAATTTTAGCTAACCCTATACTTATATCTTTTTATTGTAATTTATGTTTGCAAGATTATTGTATAGGATTATTTTTAGAGACAAAAATTTTAGAAAAACCAATTCAACTTTAATTTTACCAAAATAACTTTGATGCAGAAGCTCATTTGTATTCTTTTTGTATAATGGTTGTCAAAGTCATAGTTGTAGTTAAATAAACTCCTTTTAAATATTATTTGCCTCGAATTTAGTTGCCTTTAAATATCGGATGTCTTTAATGTGATGGTTTATGCCTTGATAAAACATTCGTCTCAAAAATATAAATATTGGTTGCATCAATGTAACGGTTGCCGTAAAACCATAGTTGTCTTGATATTATAGTTTCCTCAAAATATTAGTTTGTTCGATATTGCAGTTGTCTTGAAATAATAATTGTCTAAGTTGGGGTATGAGATTCTTTCCAACCTCAAATAATGAAGTAGGTGTCAATTATCGTCGAGGTATTTTCATGTTGATTGTCGTACATAGTTCGTTTTAAGCCACCCTCAAGTGAAACCTAACTGCTTCCCTCCTCCTCTCACAAACCTTATTTTGTACCAAAAAAGATAAATTATTAAACTCTTTTTTTTTATCATAAGTATTTTCTTAAGATTTAAGAATAAAAATCTCAATTATGCAATCAAGTAGGCCAATAGTGAAATATAATCTTACCCATGTTATAGACTATAAAAATTAACTTTATTTCATAATTAATATTAAATAATAAAGTAATATATTTAAGTCCACAAATATTTATATTTAAGATATTAACTTTCTTGAATATCCTAAATATTATTTGGTATTTATATCCCTCAAAAAAGGTTTGCAATCTTCAAATAGATCATAAATTATAAAAGAGAATACATTTCTCTACAAGTTCAGAGGTTTTTCAAATGGTATGAACACATGGTAATAAGATTAATAATTTTTGTTGGCCAAGAATTTGATCAAGTCTACGAGCTTCGACTCGAATGGAATGACCTGATGGATGTTGGGCAAGTAGGGAACCTGCAAAAAAGAAAAGACTCTGATGGCCAAAGTCGGTAAGTGGTCGAACTATTCCAAGAGAGAATATAGTTTCATGCCCTTGAGAATGAAGTGGTCTCTATTTATAAGTGGAGTTTCCGATAGGGCGTCCGACAAACCTTCAACAGCTCTTTAAGGTTCTAGAAATCACAATCGTGGAACCTGTCGGAGAACCAATCTTTACGGTGATCTTCAGGCTGCCGAAATGAATGGGTTTGATCCATGTGGTCAATAAGAAATCACCTCCAACAATTTTCAAAAGACTTCAAAAGAAATTTCATAAAAGTCAAAAGGTAATCTTTGAAAGTCTAAAATGACATCTTAGTAAAATAAATCATATAATGCTAAATTTGTATTCAAATATTGACTCTAGATAATCCATCAAAGCTAAGTATCATATCTTAACGAACTTCCTAGTGTTTACTCTTCATTGATTGCCATAAAATATGCAGTTTGTGTAAAATACAAAAACTCTTATTTCAATACTTTCTCCAGCTCTTATATAGGGAAACGACAACTGAGGATATAATTTACTATAAGTATTTGTATGTAAATTCTAAATATATATTAACTATGGAAGACAAAATTGCACTAGTATAACATGTGAGGTTGGAATTCGAACTCATAACATTTTGATCGGAGATAAATATTTTAATCAATCGAGTTGTGCTCTAGTTGTCAATTAGATTAATAAATTTGTAACTTATAAATGATCAAACTTACATAACTCTTGTATTATTTATAAGAGTGAATAATAAATTATTATAATAAGTCAATTGGAACTATGGATGAGACATTTTTTTTTTGGGAGGTCGAAGGTTCCATACCCGACCTACCTTTGAATTCTAAAGAAAAAATTGCTTCAAAAATATTATATTTGGAAAGAAAAATAATTAAGCGAGTTGAGTAGTCAGCAATCCCTACAAAAATTAAATTGGAAAGTTCTTTAATTCTTTGAAAAATATTAAAAAAAAAACATATATTTTTTTATGCATTTTCTTTATCATACTAGTGGAAAAAAATGAATGGTAGTTAACCAAAGAGGAACGGTAACCAATAAAATAAACAAGGTTTATCTGAAAATAAAAACACTGGATATAGGAAACTACACCAGTAAAGGCCCTAAGAAATTAAAATATATTTCAACCTAATACATTTGAATATATTTTGAATCATGACTTTTGTTTCACAAGACAAAATTTTGTTGTGGACGAAGCATGAAACTATTTAAAAAAAATGGCCTTTTCAAAACTCAGTTATATAATAACATATCTTCTCATTTGGATTTGAGCACACAAAATTATTATCAAACGAGGAACAATGGCAAATTCTTCAAAGTTGGTTTCATGTGTGATTTTGGGCATTTTGGCAATGCGCTGCCTCTCCCCACACAGCTGCCACCTTGAGCCTGTGCCTTTGTTTGTCTTCGGGGATTCACTTTACGACGTTGGAAATAACAACTACATCAATACTACCGCTGGTGCTCAGGCCAACTTCCCGCCTTATGGTGAAACCTTCTTCAAGTTCCCCACTGGAAGATTCTGCGATGGCCGAGTCATTCCTGACTTCATCGGTAATTATCCAACACTTTTCAACAATTTATTTCGTTACTAAAATCTTATTGGGTAACTATTTCATTTTTAGTTTTATGTTTTTGAAAATTATTTTTATTTTTTACTATTTTATTGGTAAGTGTTTCATCTCTCTTAAAAATATATTTAAATTACTCTTTAGTCAAATTTCAAAATTACCTGTTTGAAAAGTATTATACTTGTAAAATCCGTTGATGTTTCTAAACAAATGAAAAATAAAATGATTTATCGAGCAGGGTTTAAGTTACTAATTATTTCTTCATATTTCTCTTAAGAAAGTAATGATACTTAATTAGGCGTCGGCCTATCAACACACGTATATTTTGATAACCACTATTAAATATTTGACAAATAGGAGATAGAAATGCAAAAATACGATAACTTTTTATATTTTTCAAACAATTAAAGAATTGTTAAATTTTGAGTGGTGATCAACATGAAGATATTGTTAAGGACAACGATACCCTCGTACCCCCAATATCTCTACAATTGTATGATATTATCTACCTTGGATATAACCTTCACGGCTTTGCTTTTGATTTCACCCAAAAAGACATCATACTAACGAAGATAATTGTCATCATTTATAGATCACTTGCTTCACGGAGCACCTTGTTAGAACACCAGGTGTCATTCTATTACACCTTCAATTCTTCTTATTAGTCCACCTGGTTGTGATAGGCTTCCTATCAATCTATCTTGACTTGATAGGACATATCTTGTTCGTCACTCGAGCACAAAGCATGTCTTTGCTTGCCCCCTTGAGCACTTTTTGTTCAATTTTGAAATACATCCACAAGTTCCGTAATGACTATTAGGCCTACCAATCACTCTTGTTCGACACTCCTGAAAGTTCCTCCCACATAGTTAGATTTGTTTTTACTATAGCTCTAAAACCACTTGTTAAGGACAATGGTATCCTCGTAAGCGAAATATCTCCACAATTGTATGATATTGTCCGTTTTAAGCATAACTCTCACGACTTTGCTTTTGGTTTCACCCAAAAGACCTCATACCAATAGAGATAATTAAATCAGTCTCCTCACTAACCAATATGAGACTTTGTTTGCACGTTTTACAAACCGAACAAATATATATATAGATACTAATTATCTGTCATGGTTCAAAACTACTGTCGTCTTAACAATGTCGTTTTTTTTACGCAGCTGAAAATGCAAACTTACCCTTGATTCTTCCATATCTTTATCCGGGCATAAAGGATATTGTCAAGGGAGTAAATTTCGCATCTGGAGGATCCGGAGCACTCGATACAACCTCCCCAGAGTCTGTAAGAATGCTTTCTCTCTATTAACAATATGGATATAAGAGCAGCCCAATATGAAACCCTTTAATTTTTTTAATAATCCAACTTCTGATCTGTGTTTGCCATTTTTTCAGGTGATACCCTTCAGAACCCAGCTGGGATATTTCAAACAAATGGAAACGAAGTTAAGAAACAAACTTGGAGCTTCAGAGACAAAGAAACTACTGTCCAGAGCTGTTTACTTGATCGCCACTGGAAGCAATGATTACGGTGCTTTTGATCCAAATTCCACAGTTTATCAATCCTACACCACCAAACAATTTGTTGATTCAGTCATAGCAAACATGAGCAGTGTTCTCGAAGTAAAACCATAGATCATAGTTTTTGTAGATTTTATGTTTTGTTTTTTGTTTTTTGTTTTGTTCTAATTAATGTTTGGTTTTACGTTTAGGGAATTTACAAGATAGGAGGGAGGAAATTTTCACTGTTGAATGTTGCGCCTTTGGATCGATTGCCGGCCATCCAAGAGGCACTTATATACCATGGGAGAGTTGATTGGGCGGAACAATTTAAGAATTTTTCTGTGTTGCACAACCAACAGCTTCCTAAAGCTCTCCAAAAGCTTCAACAAAAGCTTAAAGGATTCATCTATTCTCATGCTGATTTCTACACTGCTCTGAATGACATCATCGACAACCCCACAAAATATGGTACGTATGCTTTTTCAATCTAGTTCTTGTGATTTTAAGAATTTCGTTATAAACCTTATAAATTTGGTAAAAAATTTCAGCTCAAAATGTCTTATTCATTATTAGACCTAAAATTCTTTGAGCGACATTTGACTAATCTAATTTTACATTAGAACTTTAATGATGTAAAAATTACGAGAAGAAATCAGATTGATCCCTAAGGATCGAACTCACAACCTCTTGACTAGAGATATATGTCAATTATTGCTGAACTATGCTTGTTTTGGCATATAGATCTTTTGATAAAGTGAAAATGAGTAATACAATAAATGATGCGTGTTGAGGATTAAGATATTTTAAAGATGTTGAAAGAATTAATTGTCTAGGAAGACTTGACCTAGCTATACAATCTGTTAAGTTGTCAGCTTTATTCCTTTGCTTGTCAGAACCTAGAGAGAAATGGGTCACATAAAAAAGAATTGTTTTTTATTTTATTTTAGTAAATTCTTCTAATTGAGACTCGTTGTCTGAATTGAACAATACTGCGAGAGTTTGTAATGCGTGATTTTGACATTTTTGCATGTAATCATTTGTTTGGAAAAGGAATGAAAGAAGTGAAGAGCGGATGCTGTGGAATTGGGCCATTGAAAGGAACAAATAGCTGTGGAGGAAAGAGAGGCATAAAAGAATACGAGTTATGTGGAAATCCTGAGGAATATGTGTTCTTTGATGCCACCCATGGAACTCATACATTATATCAGATAATAGCACAAATCATGTGGAATGGGACTTCCAATATTACCACTCCTCTCAATGTCAAGTCCTTATTCTACATATAAATAATTAATATATATTATGCTTGATTATCAATAGATAATAAATGAATCATTAATTTCAGTGTACTTGCTTTCCTCTATGGAACCGAAATGATGAATTTTTTCATCACGAGGGTGCATTATAAATAAACCCACATGCCTTTCAATTTGAAGTTTCTAAGTTTTCTCTCTAATGATAATTCTAATTATTTATGTTTTGAATGGTGAAACGTTAGATGTTTTATATATATAATATCCTTCTTACTATATTATAGGTTAGTATCCATCGATGTAGATCCTCTATAAAAAGTTTTCTTTCATCCTTTTTAAATACACATCTCACATTCTCTATCTTTTGTTAAGTTAAAAAGGTTGTTCCACCATCATAGCTAGGATCTTGTTTGGTTTAAAGTAGTTTGAGTTTAAGCAATCGACTTAATCTTGTTGCTAATAATTGATGTAATCCAATAATATGGGTAGTGATTAGTGAAAGCTGCAATTCAATGTTAGGAGCCACATGATTAAATAATGGCCCAATATAATCCGACAGTGATTAGTTAATGTTATTGGAAATTTGAAAGTTTGTTGGATTTTAAATTCAACTTTTTCTTTTTAAATTTTAAATTCTACTTCTATATAAGCGATAGCAATAATAAAAGAACGGCAAAGGAAGGAAACTAAAGAGAAGAAATCAAACATTTGAATTTATACCAAGTTTCCTCTCTCGAGGAAAAACAATAGGCCCACTATAAGAATTTATTATAAATTCGACTTTTTCACTTGTTGAAAAATGATGTTAATTAATGGCAACATCACAGTTGAGTCATGTTCTTGAATCTTGATTGTCATATATTATTAAAGACCGATCTGGCAAAACAATTCAAAAATAAAAAAATATATTTGTACAAATAAAAACTCCATTTACTATATGATTTCTTCTTCATATAGGTACAGGTAGGATTCGTTAAGAATCTCACTTTGAAAAAATAAATAACCTTACAAAATTTATATAATATATATGGATTATCTATAGGTACTTATATATCGCTGGCATAATAATGAAAATTATGCCAAACTTATTAATTTACACTCGCTATTAATAATTCTTCTCGTTGCTAATAATTATTTAGAAGATCGATTTTATCTGGGATAACAAGTTGCAAAGTTTATATAGGAAGAGTAGATCTATTTACATTCGATTGAGTGAAATTGATAAATACTACGAGATGTATATGGTTACAGTTAATTACAATATGGTTTTGTAAAATTTTAGGAGAAATTGGTAAGTAATTACATAATTTTCATTGAGTACATGTGAATCCTGAGACAATAGAGAGAAAATAGTTGGATTGAATTTAGTAAAAGCGGAGAAGTTTGACCCGACAGTTAAAAGTCACTGACTAATTGGCCGGCGGGCGGCGGCTACTGAATCAATGGCCGATGTCGTTGACCAGGTCTTCAACCTTTCCACCTCACCGACAATGGTGGGCCGTTCTT